TTGGGAAAGACCTGTAATTTACAAAACATGATTAGGTTTTCAAGCTCTTTATGTATCTGTAACAAGCATTCAAAGAGCCCATTATGGACACTTTCTGTCTTGTATGCCAAATAATTTAGAAGAACCATGCTCATAATATGGGATTTAGAGGCAGGATAACTGGGTTATTTTCCCAGGCCTGATACAGATTTGCTGTGCAACCTTCATCAAGTCACTTAAACTTTCCATCCCTCTGTTTTCCCATCTATGCTGTGGTGGTGATGGTAGTAATGCTGACTATACCTGCTTTACAGGGGTGCTGTGAGATTCAATCCCTTTAATATCTTTAAATTGCTTTAGTATTATTTATTTCTATGACTGTTAACTAAAATGTATCAGAGCAGATTTAACTAAAGATGTATGGTGGCGATGAGATTCGTACATAAGACTTAGGAAGAAATTTAACATGCTCAAATCTGTGATGTCCTTGAGGGTCACATATGTAAAAGCAAAAGAAGGGAGCTGGCTGATATCAGAGATTGGATGTTATTTTACATCATTGTTCCAATGCCATCTGTGACACTGACCACCACAGTGGCCTTGGGCAAATTGTACAAACTATCTGCCTCTGCATCACCCTCTGTAATGTGGGGATGGTGACATTTATGGGTGGTTTGGAAGATTAATTTGTTAATGCTTGTAAGTTGAGGATGCAAAGCATTGTATGGCAAAAGTGCAAAGTGGTGGTGGTGTTGTTATGAACTGATCCCTGGCAAAAATCGCATATGAAGGACTTTACACAGACCCCTGGCCCATCAACCATTCTATAAGGATATAAAGAAGCCTTTTCATGCAGGCATAGCTCTCTCTCCAGTAGCAAAGTTGCTGCCCTAACATGCCCTCTCCTGGCTGGGTGTGGCATTGCAGCACCCTTTTGCCTCAGTTGCCCCCACTGCCCTTTGGTCAAGTCCAGCCATAAGTGTCCTGTTTGACCACTTTACAGAGATCTGCCCCTTTTGGGGCCACAGTTTCTTTTTTTTAACCAAAGTCCAAAAAAATATATACAAAACCAACCCTTCAGCTTAGTGGAGCTTAGCTGGCAGCCACCTCATTTTACCAGCATGCCTCTGCTGCTCTAAACTGTCCTTTATCTCTTGATCAACCCCACAATCCAAGGGCTGGCATGCTCCTCCCCTTACGCTGAGTGACTGTAGCGTTTCTCCTTACTAGTAGTCCCTTTCTGCCCTGAACTTCCTCTGTTTATAGTAACCACCCAGCTCCTTCCCAAGCTGGGACTAATGTTCAGTTAAGTCTGGCCCATCCTCCAGGGGCAGCTAGATAGCATAATTGGCCTCTCAGGCCCACATTAACTCATTCAGGGCCTGTGTGGGATATGCACCCCATCACACCTTCCCTTCGCTATTATGGCTTATTGGGTTTAGTTCATATTCCTCAAGACTGTGTTTCTTGATTTTGCCCACCACTTCTGCTGCTTTACCTTGTGGGTCTGGTACTATGATGGCAAGTTAGATAACGGGCTTGGCTACACTTGCACTACAGAGTGCATTAAATCAGCCCCAGGCACCCTAACTCCTGAGGTGTCCACACTGGCAAAGCACTGAGAGCGCCTGGACTCCGCGGCTGGAGCGCCCCTGGTAGTCCACCTCCACAAGAAGCAAGAGCTTGTTGAGCCCTGGCTGAAACGCCAGGGTGTCAGTGTGGATGACTTGTTGCATTACTGCACTGTGATTGGCCTCTGGAAACATCCCATAATCCCTTGAAGTCAAGTGGCCACTCTGGTCATTGTTTTGAACTCGGCTGCAGGCATGTGGAGATCCCCTTTCAAAGCTCTGTTTCTGACAGCCTGCATGCTTACTGCTCCGGGACAAAGCAAACCATTATTGTGGAATGCTGCTGCTGCAAATGCAGGCGTTTGTGTGTGAGAAAGAGAGGTGGGGGGTGGGGGCTGATGTCGGGGTTCCCCCTTTCCCCTGCCACTGTCTGAACTTACAAGACAGCATGCTGACACACTCTCTACCCCCCAAAACACTGTCTCCCCCCCCCCACATACACAAAACACACTCCCTGTCACACTCCACCCCCCCTCTGAAAAGCACACTGCAGCCACTTGCACACTGGGATAGCTACCACAATGCACTATCTCTGTGGCGTTGCAAGAGCTGCTAATGTGGCCATGCGCCCGCGCTTGCAGCTGACAGTGTGAACACACAGCAGCGCTTTCCCTGCTGCTGTCTCCAAGGGCTGGTTTAACTCCCGGCGCTCTACATCTGCAAGTGTAGCTATAGCCAAAGTGCAGCTAGATGAAGAAAGTAATGAAGTGCAGGTTCCCAATTCCCACCCCTCTCTGCCCTCTTTAGGGTAGACCATGGCCTCAGAGCTGCAGGGGAGGAAAAGTCCTAGTGCAGCCCTATTGCTCAGTGGCACAATTGTGGCCTGCTCTTATACAGGTCATGCAATTGAGAAAGGGTCTTTGCTACCCCGACACTAGCACACCCATGTAAGGGCCAGCTACAAACTGGTCCCTAAGGAATTACAGAGAGCGCAGTAGGCAGAAAAAGCAGGGAAAGGATAAAAAAGATGTGATGGAAGGCAATGCGGAAGACAGAAGAGATTACCGCTCATAATTAAACATCACAATAAAATCAGTCATAGTGAGAACAGGTACTGTGGGGGGGAAATGGAATGTAGGAAGCAAATGGGGAAAGAGAAAAGAAGAAATGCAAAGGAAACTAAGTCACTATAAATCCATGGTATACCCACATCTTGAATACTCATTCAGTTATGGTCACCCCATCTCAAAATAGATATATTAGAATTAGAAAAGGTACAGAGAAGGACAACAAAAATGATTAGGGGCCTGGAACAGCTTCCATACAAGGAGAGATTAAAAAGACTGGGACTGGTCATCTTAGAAAATAGATGGGTCGGGGTGGATATGAACAAGGTCGATAAAATCATGAATGGTCTGGAGAAAGAGAATAAAGAAGTGTTACTTACCCCCTCACGTAACACAAGAACCAGGGCTCTCCCAATGAAGTTAATAGGCAGCAGGTTTAAAACAAACAAAAAGAAGTATTTCTTCACACAACACACAGCCTGTAGAACTCGGCGCCAGGGGATGTTGTGAAGGCCAAAAGTAGAAATGGGTTCAAAAAAGAATTAGGTAAGTTCATGGAGGATAAATCCACCAGTGGCTTGTAGGTAAGACAGTCAGGAATATAACTCCATGCTCTGGGTGTTCCTAAGGTTCTGATTGCCAGAAGCTAGGACTGGATGATGGGGGGTGTGGGGGGTGGATCACTGAAATTTGCCTGTTGTGCTCATTCCCTCTGAAGTGTTTGCACAGGCCACCATCAGAGACAGGATACTGGGCTAGATAGACCATTGGTCTGACCCAGTATGGCCATTCTTATGGTCTTAAGTTAATTTTTTGAAAAAGGCTCCAATTCTCCTGTGCATTTATATGTGCTTTTTTGCAAAGAAGACATAAATCCAGCAGATCTAGCCCCTTGAGGTTTCCTTTGAAGAAAGGACAGCCTTGAAAGGCACTGAGAAACCATAGCAGCTCCTTTGCAACACCCCTCCAAACCACTGCTGAAGATTGTATGGCTGGTTGAAATGGGCTGTGGCTTCCATGTCATTAAACCATCGTGATCCCCAGCTAGTAGAATGGTCCTTGTGGGCTGTTGGCAGCAGGTGCAGTTTACAGCAGCTTCGAAATTGTACTTGGGAACTGGCCCAGCACTCATTGGCCTCAGATTCAGGGGAGGACCCAGGTGTGGCTTAAAATCACCTTTGCACCCCCTCCCCCTTTTCTGAGCTGTGCTGAGTGCTCTTTAGATGCAGAATCTGGGCCTAATTATACAGAGTTTAATGCCAAAAGGTTACAATAAAATGCATGTTGTTTGAAGGTTGTTAAATCTTTCACGAAAATCACCTCAGAAAGGTATACCAGACGCTGTTGAATAGTCTCAGTGGGGACCACACATTTGTGCTTCTCAAGATATTGCTCTGCTGCTTTTACAATACCTGCCTGTGTGGCCTGGATTTTTCCCTTCTTGTTCCTCAGTTGTTATCCCACCTTTTAATGATAGATATCTAATCTGTCTGTGTACTGATTGATTGAATTGTCCTAATTTCTCTGTCAAACTTTGAGCAGGTCAACTTCTTTCATTGTTTCTGAGTCTGGGAATCCCGTGTTCTTAGATTAGATTGGTGCATAAAGTTCTGTAATGCCTGGCCATATCGGATACTTATCAATTCCTTCACCAGAAGACCACAATCTAATTACGGTGAAGTACCCTTTTTGTTGTGGCTGTGTGAAAGCATTCAGTATTGAATTTCACATCACTAGGAAATAGTCACCTTGGAGATTAACTTTTATAGATCACTCTGTAAAATGCACACGATTATCTCTTTAGAGCTGCTTGATGTCATTGAAATTCCATTGACTTCACTGGAACTAGTCCTGATTATAGTTAGTGAGAGTGAAATCAGAGGAAAGTTGCACTGATTTAAATTTACTTCAAACTAGTGGTGCGTGAATCTTAGAAGTTCAGAGATTGAATTTGGATTAAAAAAAAAAAAGTTCAGATGCTTTTTTGAACTTTACCTGAACTATCTAGACTTCTTGGGCAATGTTGGTCCGGAGCTGCCATGGTAATAGGCTTTATTAACAAGAGTTTCAACACTCTTTGCTTCTGGCTGGTCTGGAAATGCTCCCATTCTCATAATATTTCAGCTCCTGACACTGGAAGTTGGGCTAGAACTCAAAGAATGGATTTTCTTGCAAGATTTCTGGTAATTCCTGTTTCTGAATGAGCAAGAAATACTGCAGAACAATCACTGTTGAAATATTCACCAATTCTGTAGCTATCTTGGATGGAACTGGGAAGTACAAAAATTAAATTAATTTCACAGAAATTAAAAATAATGAAGGAAAAAGGTAACCATACTTGAACCTCCAAAAAAGTTCAATTTGGGTTTGGTTTCAATTCCAGGCAAAGGTTCAAATAAGATTTTATCTGAACTTACTAGACCCTTCCTGATCTCAGACAAACAAATTGACATGTATTTTCCACCGTTAGCGATCGATATGACTGGGACAGCCTTGGCATTTGACTAAGTGCCATCATATCTCCAGAAGAGACATCAATATGCCATTCAATGATTATGCTAAAAATAGCACTGATTATTAATTTTGGGGAAATAGTGGAAACCCTAAGTATTGAAAACAGAAACAGAATTAGTTTCTTAGGCTAATGACAGCAGAGTGGGGCCAAGAAGGGCCCCTATGCTAATTGATGGCTTCATATGGAGCTTAAGAAATACATACGGTTATATGCTGGACTTATAAATTGGAATGAGTTTCAGCTTTGTAATTACATAGTTTGAAGCTGGAAACAAGTAATAAAGACCTGCTGGGGCTGAGTGTGAGTGTGAAAGAGCATGTGAGAGAGCCCCTTATTTCCTTCCTACATAAGGAGTGCCGGCATTTCATGAATCCGGATCCACTGCTATGGCCCCTGTCTCCTACTGGATCAGTAGACAAAGCTAGTTTTATGTGGGTGGCTGAGCACAGGCCACACCTGTCAATGACACAGTAACTGCTCTGCCTGTCTTCCTGCTTCCACTGGAGTGGTGCACCTCTGCATTGCCTCTTCTCTCAGACTGCACACAATTCAGCCCTTCACATTTACTGACCTTAAAAATTATACCCAAATTCTGTCTTGAGCTGCAACCAGGCAGCCCTGGCATTGATGTCTCTTTGGCCCATATGCTGGATTAATGTGCTGTAAATCATTCAGCTGTTGCTGACATAAAATAACTGTGGGTTTGCGAGAGAGGTGGGATGAAATGAAGACACAGGGCTCTATGACCTCAGGAAAGAGCTTGGTGGCCTCACCCCTGAATTTATTTTTCAGAAAACTCCTTGTGCCACTACCAATCCAACTCTGTCTCTTTGGCCACCCACTCTGTCTGGCCTATGTGTATCTCATGCTTTCATTTTTGCTTTTATTTTTCAAGCAATTTTCTCCCAGCCTCTCTTCTTTCTGTTCCTTGCCCCTTTCTGTCTCATTGAATGCTTCTTGCTTTACTGATTTCTGAAACAAGAGAGGAATGATGCCTCCACTATGGAACTGAGAAGCTGATCTAGGAAAATGAGATCAAATTTTATTTCTTTCTGAGATTGATTAATTAAAAGAAAAGGGAAGTGGACCGGGGAAAGAGGAATAATGATGGGGTGTTTGGGGGGGAATCTCCCCCCCAAACGACTAAATCTAACGACTTAGATATTGGTATAGAAAGTACGATTATTAAGTTTGCGGATGATACCAAACTGGGAGGGATTGCAACTGCTTTGGAGGACAGGGTCATAATTCAAAATGATCTGGACAAATTGGCGAAATGGTCTGAGTTAAACAGGATGAAGTTTAACAAAGACAAATGCAAAGTGCTCCACTTAGGAAGAAAAAATCAGTTTCACACTTACAGAATGGGAAGAGACTGTCTAGGAAGGAGTATGGCAGAAAGGGATCTAGGGGTTATAGTGGACTACAAGCTAAATATGAGTCAACAGTGTGATGCTGTTGCAAAAAAAGCAAACGTGATTCTGGGATGTATTAACAGGTGTGTTGTGAGCAAGACACGAGAAGTCATTCTTCCGCTCTACTCTGCTCTGGTTAGGCCTCAGCTGGAGTATTGTGTCCAGTTCTGGGCACCGTATTTCAAGAAAGATGTGGAGAAATTGGAAAGGGTCCAGAGAAGAGCAACAAGAATGATTAAAGGTCTTGAGAACATGACCTATGAAGGAAGGCTGAAAGAATTGGGTTTGTTTAGTTTGGAAAAGAGAAGACTGAGAGGGGACATGATAGCAGTTTTCAGGTATCTAAAAGGGTGTCATAAGGAGGAGGGAGAAAACTTGTTCACCTTAACCTCTAAGGATAGAACAAGAAGCAATGGGCTTAAACTGCAGCAAGGGAGGTCTAGGTTGGACATTAGGAAAAAGTTCCTAACTGTCAGGGTGGTTAAACACTGGAATAATTTGCCTAGGGAGGTTGTGGAATCTCCATCTCTGGAGATATTTAAGAGTAGGTTAGATAAATGTCTATCAGGGATGGTCTAGACAGTATTTGGTCCTGCCATGCGGGCAGGGGACTGGACTCGATGACCTCTTGAGGTCCCTTCCAGTCCTTGAATCTATGAATCTATGAAACCTGAGCAAGCTGTACCTGAGCAAGTGTGTTGTTAATACTGTTTACTCCAAGGGCTTCCCTTTCTCTTAGGTTCTTGAATATTTTTCCTCTCCCCCACTTCTGAGTGGTTGTGTACCTCTGGTTTCTGAAAGAAGCCCTGCAGATTAAACCACTGAAGAACAGCTAGGGTGAAGGGAAAAGAGAGCCCCAAAATTTAAGAGAAATGGCACCCAGTGCTCCTCCTTCTCAGATAATACAGCACTGTTTTCTCTGGGAGAGTCAGGTCTCCTTAAACTCTTGTGTTTGCTTTTCCCTTCCAGTGACCTGGTGCTTTAAGTGGTCTGGGCTGTATAATCTGCTAAGGGTATGTCTATACTGCAAAAGAAAAAAAAAAAAGTGTGTGTTAGTAACTCAGGTTAGCTAACCTGTTAGTTAATTTGGGTTAAAAATAGCAGCGAGGACAGCAACTCTGCTTTTAACTTGAGTCAGCAGCTTGAGTTCACGCCATAGGGCCTTGTCTTCATCACTAAAAAGGATGCTTATTTTTTTAACCTTGGGGTAACTAACACATGCGCTATCCCAAGGTAAAGATAGGCACTTCAGTTTTACTGAAAGGTAAACAACCCTAAACAACCTAAAACATTTTTATTTTATTTTGCAATATAGACATATCCTTAGAAAACACAAGAGCAGGCTATCTGTCTCCAGCCTACAACCCACGCTTACCTTTCTCCTCCACTCCCATCCCTACCCCCATGAGACTGCTCATGGATCACATCCATACCTTTCATGGCAAATGGTCAACTTTACTTTTTCTGTGAAATCCATGACAATTGAAAATAATACAGCCTTTTTTTATAAGAGTCAAGAAAGAGATTAAATGCCTAGGTCTGATTCACTAGCAATTTAGGGTTTGCATTATTAAGTTTAAAAATAAACTGCATGCATTAGATGCTATTTTAGTATAATGGCAAAATAATGACTGTGTTAAGTCAGACTTTGTTATTACTGTATGTAGTGCTTTATTTTTGTGGTGCCAGTTTCCTTTTCTGATCAACGAGGCATGTATCTATTGAGATGGGCTTTCAGAGTGATGGCTGCTTGATAGATCCATGTGGGAGTATTTCTGAAATCATTCTTCATTTCTAAAATGTTAACCTTTATTTTTCCTATAAAGCTGTTTTCATTTCTTAAAATCTTTGTTGTTAATTTAGAGGTAGTAAAAATTAAACAGAGCATGGTTCTTAGTTATGAGGTTCAGTTTCCACTGTGATTTCTTAAAGGAAATGCATAATTAAAGAAGTTGCATTATTTATGTGAAAGAATAATAAAATCATAATTACTGTAATGTACACTAGTGGTACTAGGTTAATTTCAAATGTTAAACATAATAATCCTCTCCTCCACCAAAAGGAGCAGTAATTATTCTTATGTTTCAGCTCTGGAACTCATGAGCTTTTCTTGCATTTAGTAAAAGACCTGAATGCATAGAAGCACACTGAAAGGGACTAGAGACCAGGCCATATGAAAATGGGAGATTTCATTGGTCAGGGCCTCCTGCACATATTTTCTTGAGTTGCAGTCTGTATTTTGCTTTGTGCTTCAGTTTCAAACCAGCCCAAATCTCAAAGCATAACTCAACTGATGCTGAATCAAGTATTGCTTGATTCTTACATCAGAATCCTGTAAAACTGATATTTTTGAACAAACCAGGACCAGTTTATGGTTTTGCACCAAAACCATGCAAATTTCAATCACTCACAAGGTTGACAAACTTGACCATGTTTTGCCAAAACATTTGTAATGCATTTTGAATTTGTGATGAATCCCAAAATGGGGTAAGCTTTCGAGTGATTTCAGGTTTTGCATGGGTCAGTCATCTACAAAGCCCTATCAAAGCTTATCCTGCCCCAGCACATCATAACAATCATAATTCAACACTAAGTGCTCACATTTACTGTGTTTGGAAGCACCAAATTGGTAAACCAGAATCTTAACATTTTATTTTCCAAGATTTATGTGCAGAGGGCCTGCCTAAGCTCTCTGTGATACTATACCCTCCAAATAGGCTTAACTGGTACTTATATGATGCAGAGGTAGTGAATTTCACCCCTCATAAACAGTACTCTTTGGTGTCTCTAGGTGGTGGCTTGGGAGATTTTATTAAATTAGGAAACTCACCAAGAGTTAGACCAAAGTAATACTATTGTGTCTTCTTTGCTCAACATTTATCATTATCTGTAACACCTTCCAAAATGATTTCATACAAGGTACTTTAAGTAACTAGAATGACTTTAAGAATATCTAAACACTTTGAAGAACCATTTCCTTCTTGTTAGTTCTAAAATGGATTTTGCTTTTAAACTCAAGATTACAGTCTAAACATAGAATCTTAAAAACTCCATGTCGAGCTTTCTAATAGCCACAATGATACTTATTCACATTTTCAATAAAAGTGTGACATTTTCAATAAAAGTTTGCTTTCATGCCAAGGAAACACTCCTGCTGAAATAGATTATAAGATCACAAGGGATCATTGTGATTATCTAGTCTGACCTCCTGTACAACATAGGCCATAGGACTTGAATTATTATCTGTGAAACAGCATGCCATTTAGAAAAATATCCCAACCTACATTTAGAAATTTTCAGTGGTGTAGAATCCACCACAATCATTGGTAACTTGTTCTAGTGGTTAATGACCCTCACTGCTAAAAATTTGCACCTTCTTTATAGTTTGAATTTATATAGTTTCAGTTTCCAGTCATTGGATCAGGTTATACCTTTCTCTTGTAAATTGAAAAGCACATTATTAAATATTTGTTCCCCATATAGATATGTACTGATTGTAATCACATCACCCCTTAACCCTCTCTTGGTTAGACTCCAGGAGCTCAATCTATTTAGTTTATCACTATGAGGCATGCTTT